CGGAGGAGGGCTCCGGCGCTGCTGGAGGCAGCCCGCGCGCGATACGAGAGCCTGCACATCTCAGACGACGTGTTCGGCGAGTCGGGCCCGGACAGCGGCGGAAACCCCTTCTACAGCACCTCCGCAGCCTCGCACTCCTCCTCGGCCGCCTCCTCGGACGATGAGCGCGAGCGCCCCGCTCCTCCGGGGACCGCCCCGCCACCCCAAGCAGCAGATCCATTGGAGCTGGAGGAGGATGAGGCCGGTGGAGGCTGGAGCACCGCGCTGCGGGATCGCCCGCCCCCGCGCTTCGAGGACACCGGTGGTGAGGATCGGCCGGGGACACTGGGATGCAGGGGCGCAGGGCGCGGCCTGAAGCCTGGAGGAAGAGTCAGGCGGGTTCCAGACACTCTAACCCACACCTGTAATTTTCTGGAAGCAGATGGTTTTGGGAGCAGGGATTTAAACTAGAGATGGCCCTACTGCCCAAAGGGGTGGCCCCAGGTTTCTCGTGGGTGGAGACCACATGAGCACTTTGCCAGAGGCTTTCTGTCATATGGTGGTGTCACACCTGTGGGGTCAGTAAAGTATGGCCTTCTTGGTGTAGGGGATCCAAATGCCTGGCAGGGCTGAGGCAGGGTCATTTGCAATACGCAGGACCTAGGTGCCAGGGGTGAGGCTGGTCGCAGCTGAAGCGCAGTGAGCGCCCAGTGCGAGGTCACCTCAGCATCTTCACTGAGCTCTGTTTTCCTGAGAAACTTCCTGTGGTGCCAGTCGATCTCTCGCTGAGAGGAGGGCGCGTGCTCTTAGTCCGAGTTACTTTTCAAGGTTTATAGACCAGACCCGGATTATCTGGAGGTGACTGGAGTTGAGCGCAGTGACGGCCACTCTGGGACCTCAGGCTACTCTTGGCTTCTGAGGGGTCGAATTCTAATTTGCAGCAGCTCAGCCCTCTGCTTTCTGAGAAAGTGGAGTCTGCATTCCCATTTGACCCCCCCACCCCCACCCCACCCTCCCCCACCCCGGTGCTGCTGTTCAGACTCCAGGACTTCCAGGCAGGAGGATGTTACACCACATTCTTCTGTGAAGTGCACACAACCCATGTGGATGCCCTTTGCATGATCACCCCCCTACACACACACACACACACACACACACACACACACTTTGGATTAACCCAGGATAGTGTATGCTTAGTGACACTGTAGTTATTGTTCAACCCAGCAAGAATGCAGGTGCACGGGAGGCAGGCCCCAGGGACTGGATCTGGAAACCTTGCTGCAGGGAGCTGGAGGTGGGAAAGGTTGGCCCCGCTCTGGAGGGAGTGGTCTGCAACCTTGCCAGGCTGCGGTGTGGATGGGCAGAGTTGCAGCTGGGTTTGAGTGCAAGGCTCCAGGTGGGTATATTTTAATGCAGGGCCATTTGGCTGTGATTAACAGTGCTCTAAATCTTGCTGTTGTGCTATCCTGCATTTGCCGGTGTGCCATAAAGGGCCCTCCTGCCCTCGACAGCTGTTTTCCATATTGACTCTTGGGACTGTACCAGCCCAGTGCCCTGGTTTGGCAGTCTTTATGCTGTGAGCCTTTGTGATCTCACGTTGTAGCCCTGAAGATAGAAGTCTGCAGAGGAAAACACAGCAACCTCATAGGGCTCAGGGCAAAATAAGGACATTGTGCTGGGTTAGGCCTAGTTTAAGAATGATGAAAGTTCTGGGGTTGAGAAGTGTAAACACACCAGAGTGACTTTTCACACAGTGGTTTACTTCTTAGGAACCTGTAAGTCAAGATTCTGAAACAGGGCCCTTTACTCTGTCCATTGCGCACTCCTCATCATGAAGACCAGTATTACTTGCTGCTGGCATTAGATTCAAATCCTGCGTCCTGTCGGGGCCACAGAGTTTGCACCTGAGCCCAAGAGTCACTGCAGGTACCCTAGGTAGGCAAAAGCATTCATGGCTGTTGGCTGGGTATTTTTGGCCAGTGTTGTTTTTCTGCTCTAGGAGTGGTCCTGTCTTGGAAACTTAGGTCTGATTTAGCATTTCCTCTTTGTGGTACCATCTCCCTGAGGGAAACATGGGGGAAGGGTAGAGGGGCAAAGTTGATGGCTTGTGAAGCGAATGGAATGTGATATACCAGGGCCTAAAATAGATGGCCATTTCCAGGGTGGCTTGAGAAGGTCCGTGAGCCCAGGATGGTGGAGAGGGACGGATGTGTTTATCAGGAGGCCAGCTGCTGCAGCATTCAGCCAAGAGCTTGAGCTACCCACCTCCAGCGTCGGGGACACTCCACCAATTGCTCGGCACCTCCAGGGATGCTCCTGCTCCTGCATCCCTCTCCCTTCTCTGCCGTCCAGTTTCTTCACAGACATGACTGGGTGGGTAGGGTGGGAGGGGGCAGCGGAAGAGAGTGGCATTTTGATCAGCTACCAGGTTTCATAATGGAGCTTTTGCAGTTGCTGTGGCTGCTGCAGCCTGGTGAGGACTGCCCAGGACTCTGGGCTGATACGGAACTTACTGCCGTGCCCCACGGTAAACAATTGTATCTGTGCGTTGAGTGTGACTATGCAGATAGTGTGTGGGAAGGTGTGCGTTGCCATTGCTGGGGGAGCTGGGGGAGAGTGCCTCTCTGGGAGAGAATGCAGCTGTGTGGTCTCTTGACCCCTTCGATGACCTGGAGACCTTTGCTGCGTCTTTGGGCAGGAAAGAGATGCACGGTGGCCACCATTGTGCATTGAGCTGGTGTCAGGGCGGTTCTGTGGCTGCATGGAGATGGTGCACAGAGAGAGACATCGGTGCTAAGCTGAGAGGCAGAGGGGAGGAGAGAGACCCATGGTTACTGGTGAGAATCCTGTTCCTTCAGGCTGTTCAGGTCTTTGCAGCCTCACCCCTATTTCCCATGGCTTCAGCTTGCTGGGTGGAGCGTGCTTGGGGAAGCAATGGGGGGGGGGCTCTTTCACCTTTCTCGGGCTCTGCTCTGAGGTGTGGGTCCCCTTGGGAAGACTTTCATATACACGCTGCTGGCAGGCTGGGTGGCACGCTTTAACCCTTGTGTTGATGGGAGAGTCTTCCTGGGAACTGAACTGCTCTCTGGGAGCGCAGGGTCCAGACTTGCGGCTGAAACCCCTAAAATAGCCCAGCAAGCTGCCAGCCTCACTTGCCTTCTCATTGTGCAAATCACCATCAGTGTGGCCAGACTCCTGGGAGCAGTGTGAAATTCAGGCAGGCTGTGTTTGGGGCCTCTGACCTTCAGGTTTCCTCCTCTGAGCAGGTCTTCCATCACTTCTTACAGGAGGCAGAGGAACAGGCAGCACCAGTCTCGGCTCTCCTGTTCTAGCTTTGTTGGATTTTTGTGGTGGCTGGCTATGGTTGGAAGGAGAAGTTCACAGACAAGTCCCCCCCCATCCGTGATACCCTGCCAACAACTCCCTGAGACCCCAGGAGGAGCCTGACCTTGGGAAGATGAGAGGAACATATGGGGTTGGAAATTAACATGGTTGAATTTTTGTCCTCAGAGTTTACTGCTGGCCTACTTTATTATTATTATTATTATTATTATTATTATTATTATTATTATCATTACAATTACTACTATTTTTGAGACAGGTTTCTTTGTGTAACAGCCCTGGTGGTCCTGGAGCTTACTTTGTAGACTAGGCAAGTCTTTTATATTTAACATTTGTAATAATTATTTATTATATATATTTAGTCTTCGAGAGTTTCATGCATGCATGCAATGTATTTTGATCATATTCACACTCTTTCTGCCTCCAACTCTTCCTGGACTCTCTCCCCCCACATCTGCCTCCCAACTTTGCGTTCTCTCTCTCTCATAACCTGCGGAGTCTGACTTATGCTGTCCATCTATGCAGGGACGTGAGACTATCCACTGGAGCATGGTCAACCTAGCAGGTAGCACAGCCCTAAAGAAAACTCTCTTTCCTAGCAGATATCAGCTCTATAGATTCTTAGCTAGGGATGGGGCTGCTGTTCCCCGCCCCCACCCATCCTGGACTATAGACTGGCTTGAACTTGATCTTATGAATTCCTGAGTAGTGTGGTTCTGTCATGTCCAGAAAACCCTGCACCGCCCCACTCCTCTCCAGCCTCTGGCTCTTATATTTTTCCACTCCCTCTTCTGCAGCGTTCCCTGAGCCTTTCTGGCAGGGGTGTGATGTAGATGTCCCACTTAGGGCTGCACGCTCCACAGACATTCCTTGAACTCTAACCATTTGTGAATCTCTCTAATAACACCATCTAGTGAAGCCTTTCAGCTAATGAGTAAGAAGAGAAAAAGGTTCCTCTTTAAGGCTAGAGTTAAGTGGGGTCTGTGACCTGGGAGAGTGGGAGGCCCTCCTGTGGAATCGGGAAATCGGTGCTTTCTGTCTTGGCTCTGTGCCAGGCTGCGTGGCAGCAGGAGGAGCCTGGGACTTAGGGAGCTGCGACTGCAATCTCAGGCCGTCCTGCCTGACAGCTGAGCAACCATGCAGGGGCAGTGCAGCTGCCTGGGAGCTCCGCATCCTAAGGATGCCCAGGGTGGGGAGCCTGGAGCTCCTGGGTGTAGTTCACATCCGTAATTGCTCATCTGTGTGTTGGCACAGACTCTGTGGTAGAGAAGTTGTCATTTCTGCGGAGCAAGACAGTCTTAACTTCCTAGCTGTGGGGGCAGATGGAGAGACTTGGCCAGGTGGACACAAGGACACCATCCCCTAGTCAGCCCTACAGCTCTGGACAGGCAGTTCCACCCCTTTTTGTTACTGGAACGTCTTTCAGCCCTGCCACCATGCCTGGCTTGGCATCTCCACACAGAACTGCTTTTTCCCTAGGTGGGGGTGGGGGTTACTGTTCTGTGAATTTTAGCACATGCATACACTTTCATAACGAACCCTTGTCAGGATAGAGCAGGAGGAGTCTACTTTCCCTAGGAACATAGCACTGCTTTTCTGGAGGCGGGACTTCCTGTGCAGGAGGTGTGGCTATGGATGCTGGCAGGGCCTATATAAAGTCCCCACTCATTCTAGAGGGTCAAACTCACCTTTATTTCTAAGAACCATGCTTGTATGTTTTTACTAACATCATAATAAGCATCTTCACTCTAGAAAATAAAAAAAATCTATTAAATTTTTTTAGTCCCACAATTTTCCATTGTCTGGAGAAAACCAATTGTGATGCTAAATCCGTAAGTCATGTATAAGATTACATCATGATGGGTGAACTGAGTTTTAATTGCAATTAATGACTTGTGGACATTTTCCATTAAATTTTAAAGTTGTAAAATTTTAATGGATATGTAATACTCTGGTGATCTTTCTGGTTAGCCTTGAGCCTAT